CTTTTAATTGATTTCTATATTTGCAAGATTCTTAAATTTAGGAAAGAAAAAAAAAACAAAAGTAAAAAAGAAAAAGAGACGGTAAAGAATAGGAAGGCGAGTTGGAAATTCCTCCTGGATATTTTTTTATGTACCACAGGTTTCTCAACCATTGATGTTTCAAACGAAAACAAAAAAGCTCTCTTCCTTCTCTTTTTGTATTCAGTTTTATCTTTTCTTCATAGAACGTGCACACCACATTTTTAAACTACATTTTTGAACTGTAGGAACAAAAAGAAACAATAACACCACTAAATTCTCTTTTAAACAGTTGCAGCCTATTAAAAATTCATCGAGAGAATACCTTTTTCATTTCAATCCTTTATCTACTTTTGTGTCTTGGAGAAATAAGAATATTTTTACTTTCTACCAAGATTAACATAGAGAAGAGAGAAAAGGTAGGCTATTTTTCACTCGATAGCCATTTTTCTCTATTCTCTTCTCTCCCGTCTTATTTCTTCCTTGCTTAGTTGTTAAATAAAGAAGAAATTTCAAAGGAAAAAAACAAGCATTCATGATGGTTCGAGCATTAGAACGTGGACTTAGCATTCAGAAGTCCCGTTCCTTCCATTTGAAGAAGATGTTTGAGATTCCAGGAAGGCAAACAAACAGTATGATTCTTGATGGTGAACATGGCGGAGAAAATGTGCTGAGAAGTCATGGAATAGGAGAACGTCTGGTGGAGTACCAGCCGGTAGGATGTGCATTGACACGTGAGAGAAATCCTGCTCCTCATCCGGAACACCCTCCCAACTGTAACGTAGGAAGTCAGCAAGACAAGCAACCTTCAGGTGATTAATCATCAATGTAGTTTCTGTAAATTGCAGTAATGAAACCAAAAACGATTTTTCTTTTTCAGTTTGTTTGAATGTTTAATTTCCTGTTGCTTTCAGAAACGGAGGCAATGAAAGAAAGGTTTGCAAAGCTGCTGTTGGGAGAAGATATGTCAGGAGGTGGAAAAGGTGTTTCTTCTGCTCTGGCCTTGTCAAATGCCTTCACAAACCTTGCTGGTATTTTCGTCTTTTACAATTCTAATACCTATGTGATACCTATAAAAGATATACGCTTTTAAGTCGATAGGTTTTCCGTTATTGGGCTGCTTTCTATCATGCTCATTTGTATATGTAAAATGTAATGCAGCATCTGTATTTGGAGAACAAAATAAGTTGCAGGCCATGCCTCCAGAGAGAAAAGCAAGGTGGAGGAAAGAAATTGATTGGCTTTTATCTGTAACTGATTACATTGTTGAATTTGTTCCTTCACAACAGACCTCCAATGGAGTAAATATGGAGGTGACAACTCTCTCTTTTTACAACAACAGATAAAAAGAATCCTAATTCCTTTTTCCCTGATCTATATTTTCGGATAATATTGTTGGCTCTATATGCTCAAGCTTTAACGAGAAGCCTGTATATACTGTTGTTCTGGCTTAATAGATTATGGTGACAAGACAAAGAAATGATCTGCATATGGATATTCCAGCTTTGCGGAGGCTTGATGCTATGCTTATTGTGAGAACCAACAATTCAACACCATCTTGCTTTCTAAAAACAGCAATATTAGGAATGTATCTAAGTTTTTCCTGACAAAATTTGTACTAATAACAGGATACCCTGGACAACTTTGGAGAACACAATGAATTCTGGTATGTGTCAAGGGATTCGGATGATTCGGATAATGGGAGCTGCCAAAGAAAGGATGATAAGTGGTGGCTTCCAGTTGTTAAGGTTCCGCCAGAGGGCTTATCAGAAAAGTCTCGTAGATTCCTGCAGTTCCAAAAGGACTCTGTAAACCAAGTACTAAAAGCAGCCCTGGCCATTAATGCACAAGTACTATCAGAAATGGAGATCCCTGAAAGCTACATTGAGTCCCTTCCTAAGGTACAAAAGGAACCCAAATTGCCTACCTGCACAAATTTTCCTGATCTTTTTCTGACTCAGTTCCCATGTCTTTTTTTCTTTTGGTTAGAATGGAAGAGCTAGCCTTGGGGATTCGATCTACAAGAGCATAACAGAAGAGTTGTTTGATGCAGATGAATTTCTTGCGACTATGGACCTGTCAACAGAGCACAAAGTGCTTGATCTCAAGAACAGAATCGAGGCATCAATCGTGATTTGGAAGAGGAAGATGAACCATAACAAAGATGGCAAATCTGCCTGGGGTTCTGCTGTGAGCTTGGAGAAGAGGGAACTATTTGAAGAGAGGGCAGAGACCATCTTACTCTTGCTCAAACAGAGATTCCCTGGACTTCCACAATCCTCTCTTGATGTATCCAAGATCCAGTACAACAAAGTATATAAAAAAACTGCAGCTAAACTAGTTTTATTTTGCTTTGTCTTTCTTCTTCACAAGTTATACAAGTTAAAAGAACTTTTCTATCCCTCTGCATTCAACAGGATGTAGGACAAGCGATCCTGGAGAGCTACTCAAGGGTGATAGAAAGCTTGGCTTTTACAGTGATGTCTAAGATTGAAGATGTCCTCTATGCTGACTACAAAGCTCAATCATCTTCACCAGTTGTATCTGATAAGTCTCAAACAGATTCAGAACCATGGAGATCTCCAATTCCAAAGTCTCCAGTAACCAGAGAAGAGGTTGACAAGTTGGTATCTGCAGAGACACCAACTTCAATGACACTATCAGATTTCATGGGCTGGAACCCTGATGCTGACAAGGCAATGCACAAGCCTCCTCTTAGTCCAACACCAAAGAAAGTTTCGTACTTAGAGAGGCTTGAAAACTTGACTAGTCTAAGAAGTCCTACAGACCGTCACTGATAGCAAAAGGTCTAAAGAGGAATGGAACAAGCAAACGGAAAGAGAGCTGGGACTCATAAGCTTAAAGCAAGACAGGATAGGGCGCTTGAGGTTGTGAGGTTGTGAATTGTAGATGGGTAGACTCCCTGTAGGATTCCACTGAGTTGATAACTTAAATGATCTTAGTAGTGGGATTCTAGTCTACTGAATTAGTAACCGGCTAGATCTATTATGTCCTTCCTTCCAGCTATGGACAGGGAAGTTCGAGTATTTAATGGTTGGGCTTAGTTGATTTTGTAGTTCCTGCAAGATATAATCCTCAACTACGTCCCTGAAAAACAGGAGCACCAAGAAAAGGAAATGAAGAAGAATACAATATCCATTCTTTATGACATAACTCTTTTATTTAATTGCATTTGGTTATTTTTGATAACATATAACTTCTGAGGGAAAAACCAATATCCAAGACCATAAATGGATATTTTTCAGGTTTCAGAATTACTTGATGTTTCAAAATTGTCTCAATCCAAAGACTATAATTGAGTCAATGCAACATTGCATTTGCTTCAAATGCTGTAAGGGAGAAAAAAAATTATTCCCAGGGGATATAACTAAATGAAAATCCTGACACCATAACTTCATATCTCCTTAGCTGACTTGAGTTACTGCAGCATGTATTGCATCTACAAGATGGGGGACTGTCTTTGCACTGAGTCCTGCCATGCTAATTCGCCTGCAAAGAAGAAAAGGAATAAAAGCCTTAACTCTAAAAAAGTCAAATTATGCAAGAGAAATTACTACTACATATTAGGCTCTGACAATACCAGGAACTAACTAAAAATCAATGAAAGATAAAGCCTAAAGAACAGAGGCTATCAAGACCATCACACTCTACAGAGTTCACCAACCACAGGATAGAGAGAACAGAAAACTACACTTCGTGTTTGCGGAGTATTAGATTCCTAAGCAGTTAATAAAAATTTTTGGGAATGTCTCACTAACTTGAAATACATGTGAGTTCATGACCATAGAGCGTAGAGCATTAAATAATGATTGAAACAAATAAAAATAAAATAAAACCTCTGAAAAATATTTTTGCAAAAACAATTTCAAGTAACAGAAAAGAAAGGAAATCACATATTTGTTATTCCTATCTGTGCATGTGTGAGTGTGTGGAGGCTGCCTCTTTAAGAAATAGCATGCGAAAATGATTTTTTTAATGCAGGAATAGACTCCATCTAATAATATTCCTTTCTCTTAATCCAAAAAACGTAGGAATATAATTTCTTACCCATCAGATGTCATGTAAATATGATACTCCTTGGTCATGAAGGCAACTTGCTCACTGTTCAACCCTGTGAAAGTGAACATACCAATCTGTTTGATAATGTGACTCC